CCCTCGGCTGGCCTCCCCTCACGAGATACCTTACTTCAAGACCAGGTGAGCAGCAGCCTCCTCACAAACCTGCTGCATGCAAAAACAAACAAACAAAAAAAACCAAAGCCAACACACACACACACACACACAAAACTGTACAAAAAGGCACAAAAAGACTGAGGTTTCGCAGTTGCCATAGAAATGTAGGAAAGCCGCTGACAGCTGGGAAAGCATTTGGCAGAGGGAAGGGACGTGATGGGGAGCAAGCGAGCACAAGATGGCTGCAGTCAGAGGAAAGGAGAGCGCGGCGGGACGGGCGAGCAGCCCTGGGGCGGGGGAGACGGCCGGCCCTACAACGCCAACGCGAGAAGCAGCCGGCGAAACGAGGCGCCGCGGCAGAGCCGCCCTCGGCCCGCGTGAACCACCGGTGCCACGGGCAACAAGGGAGACTCCAAAGTACTGCCTTGAAGAGCAGCTAGCGTGGAGGTAAGCGCTGCTCGGACGGGACGATTCACGGAGGCAGGAGGACCTGGAGGGCAGGAATACGCCTTGGGGATCCGCCAGATAAGAAGCCCCTTGCGGCCCCGAGGCCAGGCAGAACCACGTCCTGCATTAACCCACCCCCAGGTGAGACAGCTGAACCAGCGAGCCCAGGAGGAAGAGCCTGCGGGGGAGATTCACTTTGCTCTCATCGGAAATGCCTCGCTTTTCCTTTTATTTCTGGGCAAGCCAAAACATTGGGAGACAACATTCATTTCTGAGCAGTCCCCTCCACTTTGGGATTAAAAAAAAGGAACTGTAGCGCCAAACACAATATGGATCACGAGAAGACACTGAAATGGCAGCTTCCATTTTTAGACCACATTTAATGGTTTCATTTTTGTCCCTTTTTTTTTTTTCTGGTTCTTTCCTCACTGAAACAATCTGGCAGATTCCCTCCGAGTTTGCAGAGCGTTCAGCTCACCCAAATCTGCATTTGCCCTTGGTCCAAAAAAATACCAACTGAAGCTCTAACCCAAGACGCGATGGTGGCTCCTGCTCCATCTCTGCAAAAGGCAGAAGTTTGGAGCTTCTCAATGCTCTGTCGCATCTGCGATGAAAAAAAAAACTTCTTGAGCCATTTACATAACAGGAAGGACCCTCCATCCTTGCTCTGGGAAGATAAATATGCAGCTTAGAACAAAATGAACCTGCTCGAGAAGGAGACAGGCAGGGCCCGCTCTGCCCACGTAGACCGCTCTACTGAATGTGAGGCGTTCTCCTCGTAGGCTCCAACGAAGGAAGAAAAGGGCAAGCCCAAGGAAGGAGAAATAAGCTATCATAAGCTGCCGTAAAACCTGGGAGGTAGGGCTAACGCTTTTAGCATTTTAGTCACTGTCGGACAGAAACGCTTCATGGGTTGGAAAAATATGCTTTCGTTGAAAGAAAGGGTTCTAAAAGAACAAAATGCTCCAGTGGAAAGTCTCCTGAATTTTGTATATATTTTTCAATAAAAGCAAAGATCAACTGAGAACATTTGCATTTTTTCTCCTCGCTTTCCATTAGCAAATCAGAAAATTGAAAGCGTTTAGTGAACTCTTCCATTTTAGTTGACAAGTCTTTTATTGAAAAAGTAAAACAAAGAGGCTGAAAAAAAACCCACATTGGTTCTGCTTATTTTCCTTTAAAAAAAAAAATTCCTATTTTGGAAAAAGTTCCTTTACAGGACTCAGAAATTCAACTTTTGGTGCTATTGCCCACAGGCTGTTCCACCATGCCCTCAGGACCTCGCTGCCCTTTGCAATTTTGCTTTCCCAGGTCGCCAGTAACCAACAAGGACCTTGCAGCATGCTAAGCAGCAGGGGAGAAGTACAGAGCACCTCCAAGCAGATCTGGAGGCTGTTGGATATTCAGCCAAGTGTCCTGTGCATACGTGGAGGTTGCTGGCAAGGCTGCAGGAAAGCTGCCAGCATTCAGACCATGTCTGCAATGCCCATGACTACAGGACAAGGTCTCTAGGGCAGAGGCAAAGACTTTCCTGACTATTAGCCTGAGCTGGTGGTACCAGGGATGCTTCAAGCCCTAACATTTCCTCACAGCTAAATATTTCTCCATTCACGGGGAATGATAAAGAAATGCCCAGTGCCTCTGAAGGCAAGAGATAAGGTGGCCCACGGTGGCTCTCCTTCAGGTTACCATCTCGACCCGAATCCACTTGCCAACCACAGCTCATCACTGAAGGGATTTCTTTGGGGCTGTCTTCAGCCTCCTTGCTCAGACCTGCGCACTGGCACTCTGCTGCGCTGCTCTCGCTACATGACCGTGGAGGAGACATCTCCAGGCTCCTCCAATACCTCTGTGGCTGCTCATGAGAGCTGGCAGGGCTCAACGCGAGGGAGCAGACCTGCATCCCAGGGCGCTGTGCTGATGAACCCAGAACAGGGCAGTGATGCCAGCCTCACCATGAGGGCTGGCTAGAAGACATGGGCTAGGGGAAGGCACTTGCCACGACTCAGCCTAGAAGATGACAGATAACATTAGTGGGTTGGAAAGACCATCAGAGCAGCTGACAGACACCATTCAGACCATGTGTTGTCTGCCAAGGAGACGCATCTCTGATCTCCTAATCTCCCTGACAGGGGATTTCTGCACAGCCAGGTGGCAGCTGGGTTGAAGACCACCACTTACACCTCTGAAGAGGCTGGCCAGTAGCTGGAGGGATGAGTCAAAGGGGACACTGTCCCTGGGGACTGACTTCCACTCCGGGCACCCCTCAGCTCTGCTCATTCTCCGGATGAACTGCAGAGCACGTCCTTCTCCGCGGTGAGGGGGGAGAGAGGCGGAGGGCTGCATTGAGTTAACTGTTGGCAGGGTATAACCAAGTTTTGGAAGCAGGCCTGACAATTTTAAGAGGTCAGGATGGATCCTTCTGTTCTCTGAGTTTTGTAAATATGGCACTCTTCCCAGCCAAAGATCTCTCCCTGATCCTTAATGGCCATCCTGGTGCCCAGATGTGCCGACTTGCCACGCTCGCGCCTGCAACATAACTTTCTCCCCTGCACCTGTCTGCGCAGCCACCAGCTATCAACCCTGCACAGAGGGAGAAAAAAAGGACCCCATCCCTGGGGAAAAGTAGCCGAGAAAGCCCAGAGCTGCACGGTGACACTTAAGAGACATTTCTGAAAGCTGCTTGGCCAAGCAAATGCCACATCCGGGAACGCCCAGCCGTCATATCATCCCTGCACCCCCAGGTGAAATGGGGAGAAGGCACCAGGCATGGCTGGGGGGGCAGCTGCCTTTCAGGTGCTTTCCCCGGCTGCATAACAAGCAGCAGGGTAGGCATAAAACCGCAGTTTTGATATTTAGCCTGTGTCACTGTCATTGCTTTTTTAAAATGCCTTTAGCTTCCTTCTAATACAAGAGAAATCATAAAAAAAAAAACCCACAAAGGATCCCTCACTGACAACGAATATCAATGTGGAAACACAGTGCATTAGTATGCATACCGCCCGCTCTATCCGCTTGTTGGAGTTGGTGCGACAACATCCAGGAATACAGATGTTGGCTGCGAGCATCCCGAGAGGTATCAGCGATTGCCTATCAGACAGGAGCAGAAGCAGTCCCTGCTGTTGTAAACACGGGGTGAGTTTCTCTGCCTCTTTCTCCGGGGGGAGTTTGGTGAGTTGCAGCAAGCTCATTTCTGCATCTTCTCAGTTCCTACTCTTTGGCAGGGCAGCAAGCAATTTTCCCGAGGCAACTGAAACCATTTTGAGGTCTAAGGAACCAGAGGTGCTCTCCCAAGCACGCAGAGGTGCAAGTTCGGCTAAGCAGCGCCGAAAGTCAGAGCTCCCTGGAACAGAGGTTGCTCCCCAGCATCCCGCTCTAGACAGCATCCCCGCAGCAGAGCAGGATGCAAGGTTTCCAATACACGTGCGGGATGCCGGGCTACTGAGCTAGTGCTAGGAGGCACCGAGCTGCTGAAACGTTTCAAGACGGCAACTGTCAGGCACTTGGGCTTCGCAGCAGTTCAGCGCACGCTGGGCTGGAGCCAGGGAGGCTCCTCCAGCTCGCTGAGCCGACCCGCCGCGGCGACGGCAGGCCGTCAAACCCCGTCCCTCCGCTGCACGAGTGCCGTTCGCCGTGCCTGCAAGAGCGCGGTGATGGATCATTATAACTCGCACACAATGATCTAAGTAAAAGCCTTATTAAGAGTTCATTCATTTTATAAACTCTACACGCAGTCCATAGAGGAAAGCTAGATTGCCCAGTCTTACAATATTCTGTGTAAACACTGACATGCTTCTAGTAATTTTAACTAGATCAATTTGCAAGGAGACCAACGGTGGAACAAAAAAATCAAATTAAACCCAGGGAAATATTCACTGGAAGAGACTTTAAAGAAGTGAACAGAAAAATACAGAAGAGAAGGATGGATGGATAGAGAGGTACATGAAATAAATGGACCTACCTCTGAAGCCATGAAGCCTAAGTCTGTAATTTAATATCAAAATCCTTAGGTCCACAGGATGGGAAAAAGTTCGCCATAGCCATCTTCTGCAGATCACTGAGGCTCTGGAGGACTTATCAGTCTGTTTTCCAGAGCATCTCTCCTCCTTTTCCAGTGGCCCCCGCAGTCAACAACCCAGTAACAACCACACTTCGTCTCCTTGAGTCCCAGCCCATACAGCATCCACGCTGACTGGTCCTTTGCTTCCTCCTCCCCATTTGCAAAATGCTGAGCGTTTGCTTTGCTTTGTTGGTTGGCTTTTCCCTGTTATTGCCCACTATCTCCGGTGCAGTGGATCCAGACAGAAATCAAAGCCATCCACTTCTCCCTCCCCCACCACCCCAGATCCCCCAGAGGGTTTGGAACTGACTGTTCATTCACGTCAGGGTCGGTTGTGATTTTCTGTTATGGACAAGCAGTGAGTCCACAGGAAGTTGACAACGTACACACGCGTACAAGCGTACACACACACACGGGAACACCTCTTTCTTTGTTTTCCATGATGGATTTTTTTTTTTCCTTTTTGCAAAAAAATGCAAGCAAAAGAAAAACAAGGTTTTCTATTGAAGGTACATCTCTTCTTCAATATGAAGACATTAACTGGATTGATTTGGATCCCCCATGCAGTGTTCAGTGAAGTCCTTTGGTAGTTGACAGAACGACATCTGGATATGACAGTAGGTAGCTGTGGAGACTTCTGAAGACACTTCCACACAGTTCATGAGCAGAGAAAAGGACCAGGGTGAGGCAGGAAGGGCCGGGGGGAGGGAAGGAGAGCAAAAGAAGAAAAGAAAAGGAATATCGTTGCTGAAGGTGGTTTCTCTGGACTGGAAACTCAATTCTTGTGCCTCTCCCTTCCCCAACAGCCCCTTCTTCCTTATCAGTTTTGACTACTGCTCACTGGTGGTAGGATTGGAGTCTGCTTCCTAGGGGTTGCGTTTTTTTCCCCCAACACATATTGGTTTGTCTTCATTGCATGTTTTTTTTAAATATATGATTTGTACATATTTATATGTATTTATATGCTGTTCCCCATGACATTGGTAAGTGTGCTTCTGTTGGTGAGAAATGGAAGTCACCAGTTAGAAATGAGTCCCAGGTATCTCCTTTGTCTGCAGGTACAGTTCTCAGACAATGATTCAGTCTCTCCAAATGTTTCACTGCTTCTTCTGTCAGTTCCTCCCCTCCCACCTCTGACCCTCCATTGCTCCCCTTCCTGTCCCCTCCCCATCAAGTCAGAGACGTCATGCCATTGAGGTCGGAGACTGACTCATCTGTACTCTCATAGACTGGACGCTGTTCAGGATCTTCTTCTGGTGTCCAGCTAAAGTTACCCCTATTCTCAGGAGATCTCTGGGAAAAAAAAAAAAGGAAGAAAAAAAGAAAAAAGTCAATGGACATTTCAGTTCTGGTGTATTTATTTTACTGTTTCTAAGAAATGTGCTTGACGAAAATTCAGAGGTGCTGGCTTGTTCCTCTCAACAGAGGAAGAAAATAGTCTGAAAAATTTCCATTCAAGAGCAATGAACCCAAAGCACAGTCCCAGTGAAGAGCCCAGCGAGCCCTCGGGTGGATGAGAAGAGTGGAGAGACCGACCTGCACGTTTGCCCCAGACCACAAACACACCCAGATCCAAACTCCATGGTGCTTCCACTACCCTGAGCTCGTTCCACACCTCCTTTATTTGCAGCTATCCCCTTCCTGCTGTTGAAACAGGAGGAACAATGCATACTTTCATCCCCTCTCAGTCCCGAAGCACTGAACTATCTCACAGTAGCAAAAGGCTTTTGGTTGCCTGTCTCACTTCCAACTGCAATCCACAGAGCGGTGCCAGAGACACCCGGAGGGACTGTGCGACCACATCAAACTTACTCTGACGTCATCTGGGCAACGAGCTGGAGGGAGGTGAAGCCAGCTGTCAAGAAGTTATCTCTGTACTGGCTCATTTTAATGGCGCTTAGCCAATCTTCTACTGAGGTAAAGGCAGTGAAATCAGGGATGGAGCGGTCCAAGAGTGGCTGAGAAGGCCTGAAACGCAACAGAGAAGCACTAGAGTTAGGCTGCTTTGGCAGTGATTGCAGAAAACCCCAGCACTGGCTCTGAAACACACGCTTCTGCAGAGAGGTGGTTATGATGGGCTACCAGGCACGAGAACAGCTGCTATGGCCTCTGCAAGCATCAGTATGACAATGTTTCGGGTACCTGACCCCAACCTGAGCCCCCCCCCCACACACCTCTGACACTCCTGGAATTCACCCTCTTCTCACCTCTCTCTCTTGTCCTCGCTCCCAGACCGCAGGAAGACAGTGAGATCAGGAGTCGTGGACCCCCGCGGCACCCCAGAGAGCATCTGCGCTAGCGGGCAGCTGCCTCCTGCTGAGGGAGGCACTGGGGACGGGCTGCCAACAGGACAGAACCTTTAAAAACGCACAGCGGCACCGCTGTGGTCCAGACACGCTTCCTAGAGATGGTCTGGATGATACAGCAAAGGAAAGAATCTTTCTAAGGAATTTAAACTGGCCACTGAGATGTTCATGCGTGACGGAGACAGGATACTTCAAATTCCTGGTATCTGTTTTCCAAAGTAAAAAGGAAAAGGCGGTTCTCCGGCCTCGAGGAAGGCCAGCCCATTGGGAATACCGCTTTACTGCTCTGCCCAAAAGTGTTTCACAACCACACGTATTGCAAATTCAGCTCCACTGACATCCAGAGCAGCGCCTGCATTTTATCCAGCTCACACGAACAGGGTGGTATTTGCTGCTTGGGAGCATCTGCATGAACAGGCCTTTACACCCAGAGAACAGGGGTTTCTCCTTGGTGTGGACATACTGTTCGTGGGATGCCCTCCTCTCTGCTCCAGCTCAAAGAGCTCTGGGGACCGAGATGCGAGCAGAGCGGATACTGTGCCATGTGCCTCTATGGTCACACGCCATAAGGAATCAATAGCAAAGAATTATTGCTGTTGCTAGACTGCAAACTACATGTTCTTTGTCTGACTGTCAGGTAGAACTAAGACTGAAATCCCACGCGACCGGGGAACAATTTATGAATTTATGTTCTTCCCACTAGCAACACAATCGGCTCAGCGAGCCTTTGTCTGTGACTACGGATGCCAACGGGAGCTCCCAGCCCCAACCAGGACCTCGGCCTCACCCACGTGGGTGCTCAGGGACTCACACAGCGGTGATGGTAGCCACAGTTTTGAGGCTTGCCGGGTTGCGGATCATTTTGTCGAGGGTGTTGACTATCTCGGTGAAACGGGGCCGGGTGTTGCGGTCTTTCTGCCAGCAGTCCAGCATCAGCTGGTGCAGAGCAGCAGGACAGTCCATGGGGGGTGGCAGCCGGTAATCCTGCTCGATGGCGTTGATAACCTGCAGGCCAACAGGGCAAGCGAGCAACAGATGAGCAGGAGGGACACACTTCAGATGTCTAACTCAGCCCACAGAAGCTCGGCAAGCATACCCAGAGGAAAGAACAGCCCCAAAAAACCCTCGCACGCAACCCCGAGCACGCCTGGGCTCACCTACCCAGCACCAATGGGAGCCAGACACCTCCGGCGTCTCTCTCCCCGGAGCCGATTTATCCCTGCGGGCAGAGGTGCTACATGCGGCAATTCTGCAGGCTGGGAGAGCGGTTGCCAGCCCACTTGATCATGAGCAAAGGGAGCGGGAGGAGCCGTGCGCGGCTCTGCCAGTGCCGGGGCGCGCCGAGGTTAATCGCAGCTCTGATGCTCCGCGAGCAGTGCAGTTCCTTGCAGCAGAGAGCCGCTGCTCATTAGCTCGGCTGAGCACGTCGGAGCACAGGAGTCCGACTACCAAAGCTCTTTCCCCGCTCGAAAACCCTCTGAACATTTTCAAAGGCCTTCTAGGCTCCTGAAGTCCAATTACCAGCCCAATGGCTTTTCTTCCTCATGTTCCTGTGTCTATCCTTTCACTTGCTGGCCTTTTTCATCTCAAAAACCACTGAGCGCTTGCAGCGGTTCCGGAGAGGAGCAGCCGGCTCCGGAGCAGCTGGGAGAGCTGACGCCCACAGCGCTACGACCCCGTCCAAAACCACCCGTGTGGAGGGCAGAGCCGAGGAGCAACCTCCACGCTTGCAACCGAGCTCCCCCCCGGTGCCCACATGCACACGCACGGCTGCAGTAACAATGCCCAGCTCGGCCCACTCACATCTTGGTTGGACATGTCCCAGTACGGCCTCTCGCCAAAGGACATCACCTCCCACATGACAATGCCGTAACTCCAGACGTCGCTGGCCGAGGTGAACTTGCGGTAAGCGATGGCTTCCGGGGCGGTCCACCTCACGGGGATCTTCCCACCCTGGAGAGGAAGGAAGAGACAGGTCAGACGCTGGCATCGAAGCCTCGCTGGGAGCGATTGGGATTTTCCTCCCTTTCTCGGTTTGCTAAGTAGCTGCCCGCACCTCTTGGCAAAGCGGCTGTAAGGAGACGAACAACCAAGCCTTTTTAGGGGTAACAAGTGAATAAATGGCTCCCTTGGTACAGCATCCCAAGTCAAATCAGGGCCACCAGGAGCCACCTTGCACTCCTGCCTCGGGTCCCTGTGCAGCGACTGCTCCTTCAGCTTGGACAGGTCCCAGCACCCTCCTGCCGCCCCGTAACGTGGGCAAGGAGAGACATCGACTCTCAAGCAAAAAAACAGCAGACAGTATATGGTGATATGGTGCAGCCAGTAGCTGGATTTGATAGTTACCATGCGACCCTCTTCTCTAAGGACCGAAAATTAGAAAATGTCAATATAGGTATTTGTTAACTGGGCCTGGAGGTAAATTGGGGCAGAAAGGGCATTTATTCAGCTCTGTCTCAAAAGGGTTTCCCCTATTTATCTTCAACTTGTCTTAACACTGTAGCAATCTCTTTTCCATTCTTCCACTGGGGTTTATAGTTTCAGGATGAGAAGAAGGGCAGGAGTCAAACACGTCGCCTTGAATTTATCTAGTACCTACACAGGAGGGTTTATCTAAATGAAACGAAGCAGTTTCTCTAAAGGGGTAGGAACCCAGGGACTGCGGCCAAAGCGCAGAGCCAGGCACGCGCCTGCGGCCGGACAAGCGAGCGCGGGGGCTCCTTCCGCGGCTGTGCGAGAGCACAGCCCTGCGCTGAGGCTGGACCCACCGGGAAGTGCCAGCGCACATAGCAAGCACAGCAGGGTGAGGCGCACACAGGCTATCCTGGCTTTTCGGCACTGCTGGAGCATTGCAGCAGCCCAAACCGACTCCTGGAGTGCAACGGTTGAACCTTACCCTGCAAACTACACTAGTAATATTAACGTTAGACATTAATGCTAATGAACGCGTGCACGGATGTGCATGCACACACT